TTCCTCTGACTGACTTATTTACTTAGCATCATGTCCTCTGAGTCCATGCATTCTGTAGCAAAGGATAAGATTGTATTTTTGTGTGTGTGTGTGGCCAAGTAATATTCATTATATATATGTAGCGCAGTTTTTTTATTAATCTACTTATCTATTGATGGGTACTCCATTTATGTTTTGGGTTTCTTCAGATATATACCAGAAAATGGAATTGCTGGGTTATAAGGCAGTTCCATTTTTAATTTTTTGAGGTAATTCCATACTGTTTTCCACAGTGGCTGCACCAGTCTGCATTCCCTCCAACAGTGCATGAGACTTCCTTTTTCTCCACATGCTCACCAGCATTTGTTGTTTGTTGATGTATTGATGATAGTCATTTGACAGGTGTGGGGTGATATCTCATTGTAGTTTTAATTTGCATTTCTCTGGTGATTTGTGATGTTGAGCATCTATCTGTATGTCTTTTGACCATATGTATATCCTCTTTGGAGATGTGTATATTTAGGCCCTTTGCCAATTTTTTAATTGGATTGTTTCTTTGTTTGTATTTGGTGTTGAGTTATATGATTTCTTTATAAATTTTGGATATTATCCCCTTACTGAATGTATCATTGATGAATATGTTCTCCCATTCTGCAGGGTGTCTTTTCATTTTGTTGATGGCTTCCTTTTCTGTACAAAACTTTTTAGAGTGATATAGTCCCTTTTTTCCTTTGTGTCCCTTGCCTAAGGGGAGGAAATGGGGTCAGAAAAAGACTTTGCTTGGGTCAATGGGCATACAATGCAGTTTCCAGGTGATGTTTTGTTGAGTTGTACCTGAAACCTGTATGATTGTATGCACCAATGTCACCCCAATAAATTCAATTAAAAAAAAGTTCAGACCAGCACATCAGATTTACACATTTAACAAGCATGATATTCCTAAATATTTCAATACTACTTATAAATAAATTTTGTCTAAACTAATAAATTTAATATTCATTTAATATTAAATATTTAATATTAAAAATACTACAAATTGATCATTCTGTCTTTTATAACTTTCAAAGTAAAATCACATTTCTGATATCAATTTTAATATTTTAAGTAAAACTGTATGTCTAATAAATCAATGGATAGTTCATACAGCATAATAGATAATAGTATAAACTTTGAAATTTGACTATCTTAAGTTCAAATCTTGGCTTTTCCACTTACTATTTGTATAACCTCAAGTAAATTCCTTAACTTTTCTGTGCCTCATTTTCTCTGTCTGTAAAATGCCTGATAAGGTGATTATGAGCATTAAATAGGTTAATATCTCTAAAGTACTCAAAAGAATGTCTATTATATAGAATTACACCATTTATTAAAATAAATGCAAAAATTCTCTAAAATATCAAATTTTCTTAAACATTCAAAAACCTAAAACATTTGATGATTGCACAACTTATTTCTAAACTTAACCCCAAATTATTAATATGCATTTGACTTACTTAAATTTCTATACTTGTTTATACACCTTTTGTAGTTTCAACTTCACCTATTTACATAGGGGAGAGATGTATTGTCTCATACAAGTAGAGATTAGTTGTTTAATATTGGTGATTGTGATACAACCATGGCTTTGAGTTAGTGGCCACAGGTTTGAGGAGCAGGACCCTAGGCTGTGTTCTAGGTTTGTGCCTTCCAAAATGGTATGAGCTGGTCTTGCTATAAGGGCTTTGCTTGCTTTGTCAGTACAGAGTTGAGTGCCTATAACTGCAGCTGAGATTTAATTTGTTAACCAAATAAAATTAGCTCTTACCCAATTTTCAACTTCAATCTCTTTTTAAATTTTGTCTTTAAGTTTTAATTGCCTGAATGGAGAAGATGGATATGGCTTTTTCATTTCCTACATAGGCTTTATTGTTTGGGTTAAATGAATGTCTTTATTGCCTGATAGAATTATTTTTTTCTTATCTTTTTGTACTGTGTAAAGTTCTCTCATTATTTTATTGACAGCTTCTTCAATTCCTGCGTGCTTCCCCTTTTTAGCTATTCCTAGCCAAAGCACAAAGGAAACAAATTACGCTATTACAAAGTCTGGACCAAGGTCTGGCAGTCTTGGATTACTGGCCCTCTCTTAGCAAAGCTTTATAACTCTTCTGCTGGCCCCTTAAACTGGAATATCTTGGGCCATGTGCATTTCTCTCTGGAAACATCTTTCAAAACCTGAAAGAGATAGCTAATACTAAATACTAACACTAAAGAAGTAGCCAATACTAAAGAAAAGCTAATGCTACCCACCCCCGCCACCTTCATTTTAAAGATGAGAAAACTGATCCAGAGAGGTTAAATGATTTGATTATAGTGAACATAATAAATCAAAGGATGAGTGGGACTGTTTAACTTTGGGGAAATGGAGGGACAGCTGGACTTTGTGGATCTTTAGTGTTCGGACATATTCATGGCATAGCTTGAAAAAATTTCATTGATTACTTAAACTCTACTTGCAAAATACTCTTTAGAACTCTAATAAACTATTAAAACTCAGTGGTTCTACCTGGTCTGAAAATGCCATTCATTTTACAGATGAGAAAACTGATCCAGAGGTTAAATGATTTGATTAGTGTAAATATAATAAAGTTCTTTTGGCACTTAAGTAAATAAATCTCTTTGAATGGCCCGAAAAGTAAATTAACTTCTAAAGCATTCCTAAGAGTAAATGTGATTAATGTGACATTTCATTAGGCTGTATTGTGTTGGTTCTTTTGTTGTATCACTGAATATGGCACCACAATCTTTATATTTATGTCATTCTTTATAGTTTTCTCAGCCCTTCTCCCCTATTTCCAACAATACCAAGATTATGTATGCGTTAGTTCCTTAAAGTCAATCAGTGGCACTGAGAACAGATTTGAGAAACACTGCCTGGATGTGACAACATAGAAAAATATGATTTTCCCAGAGGTATCCCAATTCTTTTTGTCTAGTGGCTTGTTAAAATTAAATTACGCTGAAAAGATTAGCTCTTTGGAATTTCATTCATTTATCTAACAAAGATTTATTGACCATGTACTATTTGTAAGGCACATAATTTGGGATGCATTAGTGAACAAAACATAAAAAACAAAGATAAAATACTTGTGGCTTCATGGAATTTATATTCTAGTTGGAGAGTAAATGATAAACATACAATGTAAGTAAATTATATATTAGCTGACACTAAGCATTATAGGAAATAGACCAGGAAAAGAGAATCAGAATTGGAAAGAAGGGCTGAAATGTTAAATAGAGTAGTTAAAAAATTCCCCATTGAGAAGAACGACATTTGAACAAAGAGTCAAGGAGGTGAGGGATTCTTTCATGTAGGTATTTGGGAGAACTTTAAATTTTACTTGAATTTACCTTGGAGTTTTGAATTTAACTTTAGAGGTATAATTTACATAGAGTAAAAGGCACCCATGATAATTGTAGAGTTCGATTAAATTTGACAAGTGTATATATTCCATGTTACCACCATCCCAGTCAATCACCGCTAGTCCCAGGTAAACACTGATATTCTATCTCTACTATATCTTAGGTTTGTCTTCCTAGAGTTTAGTAAAAATGAAATTACTATTAAATATGTATTTCTTTGTGTTGACTTTCATTTGCTCAGCATAAATTATAGGTGGTTTATCTTTGTTATTGTATATCTCAGCATCTCATTGCTTTTTATGAAAAAGAAGAAAGTCAGTTTCTGGTTTTCCTGAAGTTCCATGCTGTGGTAAGACCAAAGCTTTCGCTGGGGACACATAAAAAGCCTATCTTCTTCCTGAATGACACGAGACTAGGCATGAATCTGAGGTTCTACCGGGAGCACCCCTTGCTTTGGCTTCTCAGGCACTCAAAACAATGGATGAGGATTGGCATAGTGGTGAGAAAGATGGCCAAGAGAAAGATCGCTTGCTGACCCCTCCATCCCTGCCAGAAACTCTGGCCACACTGACAGGATGGGAAGCGGGATGGGGCCTGATGGGACAGGAGCACGTGGTAGGAACACAAGCCAGTCACTCCGTAGGTGGCATTTGTGAATAACATTGCCTACACTCTCGCTGATAGACTCGCATGTCTTTTGGAATAGCTTCGGATGGCCAAACAAGGGAGGGATGGGCATCGATGAGGACTGGAAGTCCAGGCAGTCTGTGGTCTCATCCCATAGGACTTCCAGTTTTGGGGCCCTAGCTTTGCTGCTGTGAGGAGGAGTCCACATAGCTCCTCACATCACAGCTCTCTTTTAACGTGGCAGAGCGTCTGTTGTCCCAGGCAGATAAAATCCGAGAGGGATTCATTTGGATTGAAGCTTTGGGTGGGAACTGGGTTAAACTGTGTTCCCAGCTTGTGTTCTACTTATCACAGTCTTAGGCCAAATGAAAAACACCCTCCCTTCAAGGCTGACATACAAGTGGGTTTTACTCCACATGGAAAGACCGGATTTTTGAACAAGGACCATGTCCCTGGGGCCCATTAGGGCTGAACTTTCATTCACCTCAAGGTGTAGAAGAAATCCCAGCAGCATAAAAATGTCTAGAGAGATGGTCAGCACTTTGATCAGAATGCAGGTCCTGTTTGAGGTGTTTTCATAAGATGGGTACTTGCTTGTTCCTTAGGATTTTTCTCTTGGAGATTATAAAATTGAATGGTTTTCTTCCCTTAATAAGATACCTACAACAGGAATATTGTTATTCCTTAATCAAGGTGGATTCAGTGTTATTTACCTAATTGTCACTGGCATCATGCGTTCATACTAATTCAATTCACTTACAGCTTTATCTTCTTAAAAAGAAAAGGAATTTCGAGCACTTACTTTTCCCATGAGCTACAACATGCCATGGCGTTTGCCTACCACTGCAATGCAAGGCTTCCTCAGCTGCCACCTCAAGGGCTCCACCAAGCGCACCAAGAGGCAGCCCAAGCTGGACTGCTACCACAGCTTCCGCCACATCCTGCGGGGGTTCGGGAACACTGCTGCTGCCGCAGCCTCCTCTGCCACAAACAATGAAAGGTCCCATCTGATGCCGAGGCTGAAGGAGTCTCGCTCCCACGAGTCCCTGCTCAGTCCCAGCAGTGCGGTGGAGGCGCTGGATCTCAACATGAATAAGAGGTGGTCATCAAGCCCGTGTACAGCAGCATCCTGGGCCAGGACTACTGCTTCGAGGTGGCAACATCATCAGGAAGCAAGTGCTTCTCCTGCCAGTCAGCAGCTGAGTGTGATAAGTGGACGGAGAATCTGCGACGAGGAGTGCACTCCAACAAGGACAACAGCTGGTGTGTGGAGCACATCCTGAAGCTGTGGGTGATCGAGACCAAGGACCTGCTGGCCAAGAAGAAGTACCTGTGTGAGCTGTGCCTGGACAACTTGCTCTATGCCTGCACCACGGGCAAACTCAAGATGGACAATGTCTTCTGGGGCGAGCACTTCGAGTTCTACAACCTGCCGCCCCTGTGCACCGTCACCGTCCACCTGTACTGGGAGACGGACAGGAAGAAGGAGCGCAACAGCTACCTGGGCCTGGTGAGCCTGTCCACTGCGTCAGTGGCTGGGCAGCAGTTTGTGGAAAAGTGATACCCGGTGGTGATGCCCAACCCCAAAAGCAGCAAGAGCCCTGGACCAATGTCCGCATCAAGGCACGCTACCAGACCATCACCATCCTGCCCATGGAGATGTACAAGGAGTTTGCTAAGCACATCACCAACCACTACCTGGTGCTCTGCACAGCACTTGAGACCATCCTCAGTGCCAAGACCAAGGAGGAGATGGCGTCGGCCCTGGTGCACATCCTGCAGAGCATGGGCAAAGTGAAGGACGTCCTGACAGACCTGATGATGTCAGAGATGGACCGCTAAGGGGACAATGAGCACCTCATCTTCTGGGAAAACACATGGGCCACCAAGGCCATCAAAAAGTACCTCAAGTTGGTGGGCCAGAAGTACCTGCAGGACGTGCTAGGTGAGCTCATCAAAGCACTGTATGAGTCAGACAAGAACTGCGAAGTGGACCCAAGCAAGTGCTTAGCCACTGACCTCCCTGAGTACCAGGGCAACCTCAAGATGTGCTGCGAACTGGCCTTCTGCAAGATCATTAACTCCTACTGCATCTTTCCTTAGGAGCTGAAAGAGGTGTTTGCCTTGTGGCGGCAGGAGTGAGGCAGGAGTGCAGCAGCTGCGGCTGGCATGACATCAGCAAGCAGCTCAGCAGTGCTGCCTCCCTGTTTCTGTGCTTCCTCTGCCCTGCCATCATGTCACCCTCACTCTTCAACCTGCTGCAGGAGTACCCCAATGACCACACGGCCCGCACCCTCACCCTCATCGCTAAGGTCACCCAGTACCTGGCCAGCTTCGCCAAGTTTAGCAGCAAAGAGGAGTACATGTCGTTCATGGACCAGTTCCTGGAGCACGAGTGGACCAACATGCAGGGCTTTCTGCTGGAGATCTCCAACCCTGACACCATCTCCAACCCAGCTGGTTTCGAGGGTTACATCGACCTGGGTCACGAGCTGTCCAGCCTGCACTCGCTGCTCTGGGAGGCCGTCAGCCAGCTGGAGCAGAGCATCGTATCCAAACTGGGGCCCCTGCCTCGAATCCTGAGGGATATCCACGCAGCGCTGAGCACCCCAGGCAGTGGGCAGCTCCTGGGGACCAATGATCTGGCCTCCATGCCTGGCTCTGGGAGCAGCATCTCAGCTGGACTACAGAAGATGGTGATCAAGAACTATCTCTCTGGGTCCTCTAGGATCCAGCCCTCACCTGTCTGCAGCTCCAGTAACTCAGAAGCCAACGAGCCTGGTGGCCAGGTGGCCGGCTCAGGCAGCCCCACTCTGGGCCTCACAGTGTGGTGGGCAGGCCAGACGCTGACCACACTCGGCACCTCCGAGGGTGCACCAGGCCAGCCCCAGCTGTTGGCGCCACTCTCTTTCCAGAACCCTGTGTACCAGATGGCGGCTGGCCTGCCGCTGTCACCCCGCGGCCTTGGCAACTTGGGCTCCAAGGGCCACAGCTCTCTAAGCTCCCACAACAACAATGAGGAGCTGGTGGCTGCTGCCAAGCTGGGAAGTATCGGCTGTGCTGCTGAGTTCGGGCGGCGGCCAGGGGAGCTGGTGCAGTGGCAGATGTCTCTGACTGAAAAGGGTGGACAGCCCACAGCACCGCGGCACAACAGCGCCGGCCCCCAGCGTCAGATAGACCAGCCCCCACTGCCGCCCCTTGTCTCCCGTGGCCAGACACTGCCCACCCTCCTGAGCACCCTGCAGTACCCGCGGCCCTCAGGCAGCACCTTGGCGTCGGGGTCGCCTGACTGGGCCGGCCTGGGAGCCAGGCTGCGGCAGCAGCCCTCCTCCTCCACGGGCAACAGCCCTGAGCTGAAGCCTCGTGAGGTGCACAAGCAGGGCCCTTCACCTGTGAACCCTAATGCACTGGACCGCACGGCCACTTGGCTCTTGACTGTGAACGCGCAGTTGTTAGAAGACAGGGCCTGGGCCCAGATCTCCCCCTACAGGAATAGGCTAAGGAGTAAGGAGGAGCTCAACCAAGCAGAAAAGGACCTGGCGGTGCTGCAGGACAAGTTACGCATCTCCACCAAAAAGCTGCAGGAGTATGAGACCGTATTCAAGTGCCAGGAGGAGAAGACACAGAAGCTGGTGCTGGAGTACCAGGCTCAGCTGGAGGAGGGCGAGGAGCGGCTGTGGTGGCAGCAGGAGGGCAAGGACATCCAGGTGAAGGGCATCATCAGCAGGTTGATGTCCGTGCAGGAGGAGCTGAAGAAGGAGCATGCAGAGATGCAAGCAGCTCTAGATTCCAAACAGAAGATCATTGATGCCCAGGAGAAGCACATCATCTCCCTGGACGCTGCCAACGCCTGCCTCCTGAGCACCCTGATGCAGCTGAAAGAGGATATGCATTAGAAACAAAAGCCCGCTTGCTTGCTCACTTGCTGGAATACAGGGGGTCTTTTAAATTGAGCATGCGTACTGCATGGGAAAAAGCGCCCCGGAGGATGTTAGACTTGCTCCCTCTCCAAGACAGCAGCGGCCTGCACCAGGCCCTGTGTGTGCAGCCGGCCTCCTCCTCACCCCTCCCGGGCCCCCAGCCAAGGACCCAGGTGCTGCAGGCCGGAGCGGGGCACACCTCGCAGCTGGGGCTGGTTTTCCTCAGCTCCAGACTGTCCTGTAGCTTTTCAGCCCTCCCTGGCCCTACTTGCGGGACATAGGTGGGCAGGAGCTTGGATTCCTCTGGGTTCCTTCTTGTTCCCAGCCCCAGCCCCAGCCCCAGCCCTGGGTACAGGAGCTGGGGCGTTTGCTCCACAGCAGAGCCAGGGCCTAGCCCGAGCCACCCCTCTGCCTCGGCCCCAGGCTGCTGAGGAGACCCTTGGAAAGCGTGCTGAGCCCTTCTCTCCCCAGGGGCTGGAGATGCACCGCCAGAGTTGGGGCTGCCACAGGGCCCGCCAGAAGGGGAAGTGAGGGGTGGTCCTGACCACACTGAACCCCGTCCTGGGCCTGTGCTCAGGGACTGGGCTCCGAGATGAACCTACAGTACAGTTAGGCCAGAGACCTGCTGGCAGGGCCAGGGTCGTGCCCAAGGGCCACAGGCCTTGGGAAGGACAGCCGTGGGGGCTGAGGCTGTTTTCACTGCTGGTCTCACAGGCAGGGCCTGGCCCCAGTGATGTCCTCTGGTTCAGGTTCACCCCTGCACTGCCCAGTGACCCTCCCCTCCCCTCTCCTGCCAATGCCTCAAGAGTGACCTCGGAAGAATTGCTTCTTAGCAATACAAGGGGAGGCTCCCCAGCCAGAGAGCAGGCGCAAGAGGCCAATGCAGTAGCCGGTGCTGGCAGCCCTTGGCTGGGCCGCAAGCTCTCGGGCTGCAAGCCCTCAGGCCGAGAACGTTACTTACCTAGTACAAAAACTGTAAAAGTGTGCAGACTCTTCAGAGATTTTTATCTGAATTGCAAGTCTGACCATTTTTGTAAATGTTCTTGGTGTTTGACTGTAATGTAACTATTTCACCTGATGGTTGTACATAGTCCTCTAGTCCTGGTGCTGCGAGGACTGCCCGGGACTGCTGCTCTCTGAGGGTTTGTATTTTATTCTTTAATCTAGAGAACAGTATTGGGCAGGAAGAAGTGGTTTGGGATTTAGGTGTTAGGGTTTATTCCCCGCCCCTGGCATTTATTTGTTTGCTTTGCAGTGTGCCGTCTGCGTGCGGTGGATGGGGACGTGCGCCCTGGCTGGGCCAGCAAAGGGGCCCCCGCCTGGGCCACACACAGCCTGTATCTCGCTGTTGGCAGCTGCATGCAGACAGGGCTGGGTTGCCAGAGCGCCCACAGGGAGAGGGCATGGGGGAAGACAGTCCCTGCTCAGGGAGGACCAAGGACCCAGGCCCAGACCCAGTGGCTGGAGACAGGTTTCCCCTCCTTTGCCAACATAGAGAGGCCTGACTTTTTTCCTTAACTATTGTGTTTAGGGTGAAGGAAACTGCCACACTTCCTACAAGTGAAGACTTTTTCCAACTGCTCAGTAGGGGTGGTAGGGAACCAAGGCCAGAGCAACACCCCCCCAGCTCCGGCCCCCCACCCCCCAGCCTTGCCCTCACCCTCGACCTTCAGAGCATCTGCCCAGAATGTACCTCTCTTCCTTCCCACCTGTCCGTCTGCAGAAGGCAAACTGTTCAGGGGAACAGCCCCTCTCTTTTCCACATACTTGGCTCCCAGAGCTGCCCCATCCCCGCATAGTAAGTATGTGAAAAGGACAAAACTGCAAACCTGGAGTCTTCACTTGAGCCCTTCCAGCTGTGACTTTTAACTATGTAAATATGTACAGAGAAAGTTGTTGGTGTTCTAAGATTGTGTGGCTGTGCAATTTCGGCACATGTGCAATTAGAAATATTAAAGATTTATATAGCCAAAAGAAAGGACTTTCTTCTGAGGATATTTTCACATGATGCAGAATATTCCTACTTAGCATATAAATTTTTATGTAATTCTGAATTTGGTTATAAATGTTTATATCCTGTTTTGCTATATTTATCACCACTCTTCTTTATATTAATGAATTGATTTAAAACACAGTATGACCTTTGTTTTTCAAGAATTTCCTATCACTAAGCGTTCCACGTAAGGTAGAAGTTCAGTAGTTTTGTGGCATCATTCAATAGAATATTGAAAACAATGCTGTGTTCAGCTTGCACTTGTTAATATAATGTGTTACCACACATTATCTGCCATTCTCACATTCATACATTCTTCCTGTCAAGAGGGACAGGCATGGAAGATACAGCGAGCATTGTTTTTCACTTGCCAGTGTGCCTCTGGGACTGACAGGTTTCCTTTCTGGGAATTAGGAAGTCAGCTGAGGGCTCTGGACAGGTTAACTGAGACCTGTGAGGATCTCAGTTGTACAAGGACCTGCACCAGCTCAGAGGCCGGGGGCCCAGCCACTGCAGGGCAACGTCGGGGCTCATCATGCCCTCATAGAACTGCGTCTCGGAGGCCTGCAGGGTGGGAAACGGCTTCTTTCCAACCGCCCGGCCCCACCGTGGCTCCTCAGCAACCACCTGCTCTAGGGGCCCGGAGCCCTGTTTGGGCCAAGGTTTTCTTGAACATTGGTCAGACTGCTTGCTGCTCATCTCTTGGCTGCTGGCAGGACGAGCTACGTAAGGGATATTTCTTTGATAAAACTTACTTTCTTGTGAAAAGAATGTTTAAACCAGAAGTTCAAGGCACATTGAGGGCGAGTACTTTTTTCATCCAATTTTCTTTTACTCTTCTAATTTGGGCCTGGAGGAAGGCTGGGGAAATCCCTGAAAATGTTCCTCGCCCCCACCCCAAACATGAAATATGCCTCACACCCCACGCACCACTTCACTAGCGGGGAGGAGTGCTACACGGCCTTTAATCCAACTTACAGAAATGATTATACATTTAATTTTTTAAAAGTGTTTTATTAATGACAATTTAAGTAAATCAAGGGTTAATGCCGCTGGTGCATTCCAACTGCTAACCCGAGGTGCTGAGGCTCGGAGCAAATCTGAGTAAGTCCTTTCTTTAAGGAGAATTTCTTCCACCAACTCAGTCCCCACTGGTTTTGCGGCCAGAAGTTGTGGGGACTTATCTTCCTGGCGCTGGCACCCTGGTGCAGGGCTGGGACTCCTCATTCCCAAGATACCCCTCCCAAATTTTTATCCACCGCATGTGGATGTGGGACCAGCCCATTCCGCACCTTCACCCGCCTACCAGTATGATGGATATGGTTTCTTTAGTTCTGTAGTTGTCAGACTTCCTTTCAGCTGAGGTGATGAGCTGCGTCTCCCTATGCCTTCCAGAAATTCTGGCTTTTGGAGTCTGATAGTTTAGGGTCTAATGTTGATTATTCTTTGACCTCGTGCCAATAGAGGTGGGTTTTGGGGTCTTTGGAGGACGAGGCTGTAATACAGGCTTCCCTTCGACTATTAACTGCGGGTACTGTTGCCTCCTCTGCTGTGGCTCGAGATTTGATAAAGCATTTGGAAGTCTGCATCGGGTTGCCTGCAAGTCCATGTGGAGTCTCTGGCTGTGTGGCCTCTGGCCGATATATAGCTCAGAGTCCTGTGCCTGTCTTGGCACTGCTGCGGCCTGGGCTCTCCTCCTTGCCTCCTGTCTTCTTAGGTTTTCAACCTTGATTATAGCCTGGTTCTTCTTTGTTCTATTTTCTTCCCTTATTGCCTCCAACACCTCCTTCAGCTCAGATATAATAATTTCTTTCTCTAGGATCTGACTTGCTGTCACGTGTCTTTGAGATAGTTCTCTCTCCAGTAGGATCTCACTATAGTTCTCCACATTTTCACTTTCGATGGTTGAGTCTGCCTCGTTGACATCAGATTCATCCGGGATAGGTGACTCATCATTGAAAACTACCATCCTAGGTGACTCTGCTCCTTTCCTCGGCGTCATTTCTTTCCTTGTCTTTTCTGTAGCCCCCATTTCAGCCTTTGTTGGTATCTCTGGTTCTGGAACATTTAATGCAGGCAGCTGTGATGTTGTAGGAAAACAAGTATCCTCTGCAAAATGGCTCCTGGGGTCTGGGTCTTCATCTTCTAGGTTGCAGAAAGCAACAGGCAACAAAGAGGTGCTCTCAGGGGCCTGCCAGTCACTCACTCGACTAACCTTCCTGGCCCACCTTCCAGATGATGGTGGTCTGGGCACAAGCTGAATCTGCCGCACACTCCAGCAGGCCTCCTCCTCTTGGTCGATGAGCAGGCCGGTCCTGCCGGGGGTGGTCTTGAGTGGCACTACCCTGCGGGTTGGGTCCCCGAGGGACACCTGGATCACATATGGCTCGCTGTCTTCCAGTATCAATGATGTTCTCGATGGTGGCGGTGTTAATGGTGTTGGTTTGGGTGATGCAAATAAAAATGATGTTTTACTAGGCAGTACTGGTCTAAATGGTTTTGTTCTGGGTGGTGCCGGTCTAAAGGGTGTTTGTCTGGGGGGTGCTGGTCTAAATGGTGCTGGTCTGAGTGGTGCCGGTCTAAATGTTGTTGTTGTAGGTGGCTCCAGTCTCAATGGTACTGGTGTGGGTGGTGGAGCCACAATCCCTGCTCCATAGATGCTCCCAGATGTCCTCAGGAGGCCCTTACCTACTACAAGGAGCTCTGGCCCCACACTGCGCTGCTGCCACAGTCCCCTCCTCTCCACCACTGGCCTGGGTGGGCTCCCAGGAGTGACCGACACTGAAGGATATCTCCACATCTCTTCACTCTCTCCTCTCCAATTTCTTTCTCAACTGAGAATGAGGAACCTTGTACGTTGGCCTCTCTTTTATAGACAGGGCTTCATTGTGACCCAACTCCATTCTGACCCAGGCTGAGGAAGCACAGCAGCTGAGCTCATGTGTCAGCCTTGGCCTCTGGCTGTGTGTTAGTGTTACAGACA